GGGTCGGGTCTCACCATGCAGCCCAGGCTGACCTTGAACTCATAGCAGTCCTCCTGCCTTGGCCTCCCGAGTGCCAGGATAACAGGCACGCACCACCACGCCCGGCTAGCATTGCATTTTTGAGGCGTAGCTGTGATGTTACACATGCCCATAGCACATGTTTTGTATCGCTGGACAGTATTTTGTTTTACAAACATACAGGGTAACTTTCATCTGTTCATGGGCATTTGGGCTGTTCATACTTTTGGGCTAGTATGAATAAAGTTCTTTTATTTCCTCCAAAAAATAAAACAAAAAGGAGTCCCAGTTATCAGCAGAACCAGGACTGGGACAGTGCTCAGCAAGAAACGCAAAGAGCGTGGGCCAGCACCGACCCTGTGGGCGCCGGCCAGCGCCACGGGACTTGATGGGCCGGGAGGAAGGTGCGAAGGCCACCTGGAAGTCGTGTCTGCCACAGCCTCCTATCCTACAAATACGTGGCATGTCTGAGAAGTGTCACAACGCGTATACAGCGTTGTGTGGGAGCTCTGAAAGAGTGATTTACGATCAGATCGGTGAGTGCTTCCTCGGACACCGACGTAATGCGAGATACACAAATACGGGGGAATTTCCAAGTTCGGCTTGCGATAGCGACCACAGACTCAGATGTGGAAGAGGGCAGGGGCCGTCTGCGCCCTGGAGACCGAAGGATGCAGTCAGAGGGCTCCGTGCAAGTCCACATCAGGAGGCCCAGGGGTCTGCGCTGGGGGCCAGGGGGCCAGGGCTGAGTAGAGGCGAGGGTCGGGGCTCCTCCAAAGAACGAGCAGCAGCCTTCCTTCCTCCTTCCGCTGCACGGGGCGAGCCTGCCCAGGAGGTCTTCTGTCTGCAGCGAATCCCTCAGCCACGTGCACAGCTACGCGGCCCTGCTCAACCGGGCCTTTCCTCCTGGAGTTGACAGTCGGTTACGCACCAGGATGACCTGGAGAACCGAATGAATGAACCAATTCAGGTAGCTGCTGCAGGAGCTGCCAGCCGTTCTTCTCCACTCTCCAGAGCCTGGGGAGCCAGGCCAGCATGACCTGGGTGTCCACACTGACTGGACCCTGGTCCTCATCCTCATCTCCACCTCTCGTCCCAGGCTGCTGCCTATGCCAGTGGAGAAGAACGGCTGGCAGCTCCTGCAGCAGCTAACTGAATTGCTTCA